AAGTAGCTGGGACTACAGGCGCCCGCCACAACGCCTGGCCATTTTTTGGTTGCAGCCATCGTTGTTTGGCGGGCCCGGGCTGGGGATTTGAACCCGCCACCTTAGGTGTATGTGGCTGGTGCCTTAGCCGCTTGAGCCACAGGCGCCGAGCCTCTAGTCCTTATCTTAAACATTGTTATTGTTATTAAATTGTAAGCCTTTTTAATTTTGCGAAGGCAAAAAGTGTAAACCTAATAAACACATGTATATGTAAAAATAAATAAAATAAAGAGGCATTCTCTGGGATACCCTTGACAACACAGTGGGATTTGGGGAACCCTGTAAGCCAAAAACCTCAGCCTAGGCTTAGTTTTGATGGCTTGCTGACAATGATTACAATCACAGCCTCAGTTCCAAACTGCAGCTCTCCTTGTGGGCTGTTTATATGATGTTAAGTAAACTGCTTAATCTCTTTGCCTCCATTTCCTCATCTGAAAAATGGGATTGTTATAAGGATTAAATGAGATGTTGCAAGTTAAGCACTTGGCATGATAAGTGATACAAAATAAAGGCTTGATAAGTGTAAATTTAATGACAGAAACACATTTCTCCTCTGTGATCTTCCCCAGTTTCCCCATTCATTCTTAAATATTATTTAGCACCTGTCACCATGTTCTAGGTTCTGGGAATACAATGATGGACAAAACTCAGTCCTGCTAACTTTGAAGGAGCAAGAAGTCTACTGGAGAAAGTGAATGACAAACATGCAGTACCACACATAGAAATGTTTAGAACGAGGATTACAACTATATAGACCCTGGACATTAAACAGGTTATGGCACCTCTCTAATTTAAAATAAAAATACCAAAGGTAAAAATGCACTTCGATGTAGAGATTAAAACAGCATCTCTCTGGATTTTCTGATTACAAATTCCAGGTAAATTCATTGCAAGCAGCTATTTCTCATGTTTTGGGTGCTTCAGCCTTACTGATTCTCAAAAAGGTGCTTAGCCTTTTGGTCAAGTCAGCATGAGTAAGTAGGTCCAAGAAAACTCTACAGTGTGGAAGTGCTCAGAGGTACATGGTGCAGATTTAGTGTGTCAAGGAAGTGGTCTCTTAAGTGTCAGCCAAGTGAAGAGAATAAAAGACAACTGTCTGTCAAGCATAAAATCAGTAAGTTTTACCTGATTATTTCTAAAGTCTAGGGCTACACTTTCATTTGCTCATTCATTCATTCCATGTAAGTTATTTCACATCATTTGAAGAGAAAGACCAGAAAATTATCTTGCTTTCTGAGATGCAAGAGAGATACCCCATCCCCAACAATGTCACAACCACCATCACAACTTGCTCCACTTCTTGCCAGCACACAGACGTGCCTACCACCCGCTGGAGCCTGAAGCTTCAGTCACGCCTAGCTACTCCGGCCACCACAGCCCTCCAGGCCTGCCAAACTTGGCACATGCCATTCCCTCCCACATGGTGAGGAATCATTCTCCCAACCCCAATGTAAGTCTCTTCCTCTCTGATGCCTTCCCCTAGCTCCAGGTGAACTTGAGTAGCTCAGGAAACAAACCAACAGCCCAGTCCCCCGAGTGGTGCAGACTCAGTGCTGAGTCCTCCATTCCCCTCATCCACTGCCCACAGGACCCGCGCCAACTTCTGGGAAAGTGGGAACCTGGAACCTTGAGATTTCTTTAGGGAAAGAATGAAGAGAGGGCCAGAGAAGACGCAGCGAGGCTGTAGACGGAGGGAGAACCGAGAACCCACCGGTCTGGCTTCGGGTTGCTCCTCCGGACCGCAGTAGCGGCCCGGGATTCTGTGGTCAAGACAACTGGAGGTGGGGTGGGAGGCCACCAGACCCAAAAAGGGGAGCAATTCACACTCGCAGAGACAGCAAGGACAGCCCCGCTAAAACCCACCCGCTGCTTCTTCCTTACCAAGGAAAGACGGCCATCTTCCCAGTCACATGACCGCTTATTCCGAGGGCCGCCGCCCCGCGTCCCCCGCCCAGGCCCCGCCCTGGCCGCCATGATTGTGAGGGGCAAGCACGGCTCCTCAGAGCCCAGGCAATGACTTCCGCCGGCGCCATGATTGTAAGGGGCAAGCCGTGGGCCGGGCGGTGTTCCGCAGCGCGTCCGTGGCCATGATTGTGAGGGGCAGGCCGGGGCGGCAAGGCCGCCGGGGCCGTGATGGTGAAGGGCACGCCGGTGCGGCTGGCTGCCTAGCTCAGCTGCGCCCTCCAGGGGCGGAGAAGAATTCAGGCGCTGGCGTAGCGGAGACGGGAGGGTCTGGGTTCACTCAGTTGAGGGATTTGCCCCAATTCGCTGTTGCTTCTGAATTACGCCACACGCCCTCTCTAGGGCCCGGCTTTTCCTTGTGTACTTTTCCGGGGGTGAGGAACTTCCAGAATCCCCTTCCCACTAATAACATCTTGGATCTCGGGCTGCCCTGAATCCAAATGTGATTAACAGGAACTAGACCAAATGGGGAAATTGGTTAGCGTTTCCTCACACTTGGCAAAGCTGTACCCTTACAATGAGAACGGAAAAGAACCCGAACTCTGTAAAATAATTTAGAGAATTTTATTCAGTGCCCAATGTGTGCAACCATGAGGATGGTCCTGGAAAGCCATGCCCAAGAAGTCACAGTGGTCTCGCTGGGGTCACAGTTTGATTTTAAACATTCCAAAGAGACAGGAATTACATGTAAATTCATAAATCAATACATAGAAGGCATATGTTGATTTGGCATGAAAAGGAAGGACATTTAAGCAGGGAATTACAGGTTATCTGGGTTTAAATAGTCTTTCATGTCTAATTGGTTAAAGAAATGCTTTGTCTTAACCTGCTTGCGTGACTAAAGCTTTGTCTTGCAGTCTTAGGCCTGTTAATGCCTTAGAAAGGGAGCTCTAGATGGAGGGGAGCATGGAGAGGCATGTCTGACTACCCTTCTCAAGACCAGCAGCATTTAGAAGGGTATTTCTGGGGTCCCCTTGGCCAAGAAGGGGTCCATTCAGTCAGCTGGGGGGAGGACTTAAGATTTTTAGTTCATACTATGATGGTGGATACACATTTCAATTACAGAACTTATGAGCTCTTGTGCTTTCTCTGATTTTTGAAAAAGTGGATGTAACATAGCATATTTTCAAAACAGCTACCATTTACTAAATGCTTACTGTGTGTCAGGCACTGTGCTGAAAAGTTTGCATGCAGCCTTCATTTTTTTTCCTCCCTATAAACCTCTGAAATAAACACCGTGATTATCTATTTTTCCAAACCAAACAATGGGGGACACTCTTGTTGATCACAAGGCAGCATCTGATCCTTCCTGTTTACTTTTACTTTCAAGTGGGTTTTTTTCTTTTTTAACAGAAAGAGTTCAGAAAGCCATGTTCTCAGGTTCCCCTGGAAAAGGCAATAGAATATTCTCTCAACTCTACTTTTGCACACTGAATCCTAGTTTCTTCATCTGTGAAATTAGGATAATTCTGGTTTTTTAAGGTGAAGGGAGATGATTTTAAAATGGCTGGCACATGGTCAACAATCAAGAGAAGCCATGCTTTGAGGCAAGCACATAATCATATAGCACCTCTGTGATCTTTGTGTTTTCAGAGCTTCTTTGTCCGCGGCAACATATGAGTACTATGCAGTCTACCAAAAGAGCAGTGCTTCTCACATGTCAATGCAAATATCACTAACCTAGAGACCTTATCGAAAAGTAGGCTCTGAGATGTGGGGTGAGGCCTGGGCTTCTGCCTTTCTAACTAGTTCCTGGGCTGTATTGCAGCTGGTGGTCCCTTTGGACACAAAAGTAATGGCAGCACCTGTGGGTGATGGGGGAAGGCCATAGGGCAGTGCAGTATCCTGTTAAGATTATTCAACCAAACCCCGATTAGATCATGTATAGGAAACAGACTTTGGAAGTAATTCTGAAATAGGTTGTTAGCTTTATGGAATATGTGAGTAACTAAGAGATTTTCTCCACCATAAGATGAGAAGCAAAACCAAGGTTCTGGTGGCAGCTTTGTTCATGTCCTTGAGAAATTAAAGAATTGAGGGCCATAGAGAAACACTGACCAAAGAGAATAGACAAGCATACCATATTCCAGTTTGATTTGCTGTATTAAGTAATGAAAAGTTCTCCTGTTTAAAAAATTTTATAACCTACACAGATGTACACTATGGGCCTTTAGACATCAGAAAACAGGATCTTTATCCCATATTCTTAAAAGGATATTAAGAATATATATATTTGCTGCATTTTCAAAATACCAATATCTCTTTAAAATTGAAGTTAGAAAGATTAAATATACACAGTATCAATTTTATGTGAAAAGTGCAAAGCCTTTTTTGGAAATGGTGTTCCAACTCCATTTATTTATGTTTTTATAACTCTTTTCATTTGGGGGTGGTATCTGTGATTGTGCATGGAACAGTGACAAAATGGGGGCAAAGGATCTTCATCTCTAGAATGAAGATCCTTCAGTTTTTAGCTCCGTGTGAATAATAAGGAGTTTCCAGTCATATCCACTATTACCTAATAAAGGAGTTTCCAGTCATATCCACTATTCCCAACATATGAAGTAAACAAGAGTTGAAAGGTGGCCAGAGGAGAGTGAGGGCTTTTTCCATACAGCCTTGCAGAGGATAAAATGCAACATCTCCTTATTAAGGGGCAAGTGAGGGGCGCTTCACTACACTCACATTAGATTGAGTAGGCAGTAGCAAGACCAGCAGTCTTAAAGCTGTGCCAATCAGCAGCTTTGATGTAAGCTGCAACCTCAGCATTCTCTCCTTTCTTCCTCTACTTCCCCAAATGGCTCCTTAGCAGGCTTTGAGCCCTTAATAAGCTAAGAAATTTCCAGCTCTTTTCTTCTGAAAAGTCTAACTTCTGCCAACTCAATGATGGACTAAGCACTGGTATGGGTGATGTATTAAATAGGTGGATATACCTTTCATGGAACTTAATTATAAAACATGATCAGATTCTAAGACTGTTTTGGTCATTAACTTTTCAATATCTATTCCTTAATAGTCATTTCCTTGATAAATAAAAAAGATAAACCAGATTTCCTTTAAGATGAAAAGTTTATTTTACCTTTTGCCTAGAAGCAAAACTAGGGAAATTAAAGTATAAAAATAAATACAATTTACATTAATGGACATTCCACTCAAAGTAAAAATGATAAAAATAATGTATATAAATAAAAACCCATCAAAAGCACAAAACAATGTCTGGCACTTGTATGAGGAAAAGGTGTGAACATTAAAAAAAAAGTGTAAAACACACATACTTTTAACTTTAAATTAAAAACACCACTCAAGTTTCTCATCCTTAATCTAAAACTAGTTTACCTTTCTCTATAACATACTATTTGTTTTAGCTAATTTGCATTAGTACACATAAAACTTTTAACATCTTTCTTTCTTATCAAAGAGACCTACAATGATGTAAGGAAACTGTATCCTGAGTTTTCAGAATGATAAAGCACAGTTTATCATATTAAGAAGATAATTTAACATACTTTGCCTACAAATTAAAAAATTGGTAACTTGGACTTTTTTGACTGTCTTCTAATTTTCTGGTTCACTCATTCAGTAAGATTTATCTCAATAAAGAAAATCAAGTTTACACCCAGGGTAGATTATTATTTTCTGTCTATGGCTAGATGTAAACAGAACAAAAAAATCAGAAAAAACTTATCTTTATCCTATATTCTTAAAAGGATATTAAGAATATATATATGCTGCATTTTCAAAATACCAATATCTCTTTAAAATTGAAGTTAGAAAGATTAAGTATACACAGTCTCAATTTTATGTGAGAAGCACAAAGCCCTTTTTAAAAATGATAAATTAATAGTGACATTTCTTTCATAAAGTCATGTTTTCTTGTTAATATTTATCAGTTGATACTTTTAATGAATATGTTAGTGATGAAAAACCTTAAACATTAGTGCCTTTAACCAATGCAGAGTTTGTTCTTTTTTTCCTACTAGCTGTATCAACCAAGTAGGATGCAAAATTTTAACTAGGCAATATTATTTTCCCAGATGAAATCTGGATTTACCATTATAATTATATAGCCCTTTTTTCTCTTCTAAATCAAGCATGCTAGAAAAAGCAGACTATGAAGAAACAAAATACACAGGCTAAATAGAAAATATAACTGCATGCAACACATGTAATTCTTACTTTACAGAAATGGATATAATAATGCATTCCTAAGTGCTACATTCAAGAAGATTGTGCTGTCTTCCCAAAACTGGTTATCCTTCACAAAAAGATCTTATAAGCTAGTATAAATATTTCTGACAGTAAGTACTGGGGTAACATACATGTGTAAGACAACTTGTTGACAAGAATGTGACTCACAGCTACTTCCGTGATAAATTTTAGGTGGACCAGTCAACTATATGGTAAATCAAAGAATATGGATATTGAGAGACTAATCTGAGCTTTTAAAGTTTAAAAGCCAGGGAAAGACAATCTTCTGTAATAATTTTCCCGTGAATAAAATAGTATCTAATTTGTTTATCAAATTCAGCAACAAGTATGTAGAGATGAATTAAATTTGTTTTAGAACTTATAATTTGTCATCTTTTCAATCTTTTCTAAAAATAAATCCAAATGTCTATTAAGTTTACCAAAAGAGTCTCTGTAGATATCTGGGTGCATAAAACAAACTGGTAATTGTGTAGGTTAAGCACAGAGATGAGGCAATTCCTAAACACTAATTTGTCTTTACCCAAACCTATTATTGAGAGGAAAATGGAGGCGTGGGGCAGGAATTAGGCAGACTGACCACATTCTCCACATAATTGCTCAGCCTTTTGATGTCAGTGGTGTAAACAGAGTCCAGGGTTAAATAAAAATAAAACTCTTGGGTAGGGAATGTAAGAATCCTCCTCTCCCTTTTTATCCTAATGAATGCTGTCTTCTTAAATTGTCGCAACATTTGGCCGCTTTCTTTGGATTTTTCCTGCATATACTCCTAAAAATAGAGCAAAACTCATATTATTTCTCAATGGTAGCTTTTTCTATGGTACCACTTAATGAGTGCTTACTATGGACCAAGCACTTAGCTAAGCAATATACATTTTCATCATATTTGCCCCTTACAGGAAATAATCGTGAAGTAGAGGATAACACAGCTGAAGCATAGAAGAATACCTGCTTTAGTTAATAAAACTAGAAGTAGACACTCTAAGAACCCAATTCCACCAGATTCATTATTTTACTTAACCATTTTGCATAACCACCTCAGTAGTTTCTGAATTTCACTACAAACTCTAGTCAAGCACAAAACATCAAATCAAGAAATATGTTTAAAAACATGACATCAGAGATTACAATGTAGTTTGTTAAAACTATGAATAACTTTCAATGCTTTGCAGCATACTTTAACACTTTGGAATTCTACTTCAGTCTACTTTTATCATAACACAAAAGAGGCTCCTATAAATTGCTTCATAAAGGTTTATCTCTATGTAGAGCAAATCAAAGCATAATTTCAAATTTGTATGAAACATAATCCAAGCCATTAAAAATCTAAGCAAGAAAGAGTAATCTTTTTAAGAGCAACAATAGGTTCCTTTGTTCAGATTCATAGTATTTTAACCAGTCAGTATCCCAAATTCTCGGTTTATGTAAAAAAATAAAATTCTTTAGACACTTTCAATTGTCTAAATATGCAGACATGTAAAATAAATCTTCAGAAAATACAGGAAGGAATTTTGGTAGCTTCTTTAAGAACATATTAATTGTCCATGTTAATTCAAAGGTTAAGCAATTACAATTGTTTGTATTAATAATAAAGTTGCAAAGCAATTAAAACTCAATAGTTCTAAGTACTGGACCTCACTATATGTTATTAACATCAATGACTGCCTGTTGATCTTTTAACCTTTGAGTATTACTGGATAGAAACAGTACTTGCTATTTGGCTTATAAGTTCACAAGTGACAAAAAGTGGAAATGAAATGTATGAGAAAAGAACATGGACAGTCACTGTGGCAAATTGATAATATTAGGCAAAACAATATTGATTCCTCAATCACTTTCCAACTAGCTCAGATTTATTGAAATATATATATATGTATATATCATTGAAAATGTCTTAAAATTCCACAAATCTGGTGTTAAGTCAGAGTTTTTCCAAATGGTTATCTTTCAAATTAGCTGATTCTGCCTATGGAATAAGCAAAATCTTCAAGTATGTAATCCTCTTTAAAACAATTCAATTGACTGTCACAGTGATTTCCAAAAGATGACCTTTTAAATTATCCTACATATGTATGACATTATGAATCATATGCAATACATATACACAAAAAGTCAGCATCATTTCAAAGTCATGATCAATAATTTGCTCCCTCTTTGAATTTATGTGAACAAATGGTGATAACATGAAGAAATTACTTATATTGCTTGTTCCCTCCTAATTCTAAGGAAATTACTTAGTGATAAAAGCTCTAAAATTTGCCTAATTGTATAATGGAAAGATTACAGTTGACTAAAGATTTAATTGTTAATGATTAACTTAGTTTTCTTTTAAATGTTCAGAAAGCAGTATAGCGAAATTAATGTACATTTTGAAAGCATTTTTTAAATGGATCACATAATTCTAAGTGAACTTAAAGTGTCTTAACAAAGATACCTAAAAAATATTAAAGCATTTAGTTAGGAGCTTTAACTTAACTCAACACTGAATTTGTCTTCTTGCCACCATAAACAAAATTTTAAAATACAGGTTTAGTTAACTTTTAAATAATCCTCCAATAATGAACATAAGGAGAGACTTGGTTCAAGCTTCTTATCAAGGAAAAGATTAAGAACCTCCCCCCAGCATATTCACATATGATCTGGTGGTCAGAGGGAGAAGTTTTCATCCCTTTTCACACAGACACAAATATTCCTGGGTGATAGACTCCCCCAAAGTTGAAGAGACATGCCTAGATTTAAGCATCATCATTATCATTTAAGATCATCACTTAAGATCATCATTATCTTCTACTCATTAAAAAAAAGCTTTCTGACTTGAGCATGGATAATTCTACAAAATTTTCAGAATAAAAAATGTTTTCCATAGAAATATTAAAGAAATTAAGATTAAAACCACAATTTTACTAAGATTTCTTGCTTGCCACAAAATATACCAAGGAACCCTAATAGGAATGACCGTGACTATGCCAAAATTATGGTGGCAAGGAAAGACATATCAAACTTCAGTGGCCTGGGTTACAGGGAAGCGTGTGCACTTCTTTCTATTGAATGGGCTTCAGGAATTCATTTTCTACACACCTGAAACAGGCGCTCTGTTAGGCACTCTGCTCTGTGAAGACTTCTGTCTATTTTGCACAACCCCCTTCACTGATGTCTTAGGGGTTCTAATTGAATATAAAAAAATTAATAAGTCACTTGCATTAAGGTCTAAATTTTCAAAATTCAAAGAAAGCAACCATACTGCATCAAATGTTCAAAGCACAAATAAGCTTGAAAAGAATTTAAGTCTCACGCATGTGCATAGTAAAGAAAGCTATATTTTTTTTTTTTTTTTTTTTTTGAGACAGAGCCTCAAGCTGTCCCCCTGGGTAGAGTGCCGTGGCATCACAGCTCACTCCAACTCCTGGGCTCAAGCGAGTCTCCTGCCTCCGCCTCCCAAGTAGCTGGGACCACAGGCGCCCGCCACAACGCCCGGCTATTTTTTGGTTGCAGCCATCATTGTTGTTTTGGCGGGTCCGGGCTGGGGATTCGAACCCGCCACCTTAGGTGTACGTGGCTGGTGCCTTAGCCGGTTGAGCTATAGGCGCCGAGCCGAAAGCTATATTTTTGCTTCAGCAAGAGACTATAACCATGACTTATATTTTGTTGGAGAATCACTTTGTTGATGCTGAATTTACTATATGGATATTTAAATTATTTAATGAGCAAAATCATATGAAATGAAAAGTAAAAACATGCCAACGTAAGATGATAATTAAAATACACAACATTACACCAAGAGGGTTATATTTGAAGATAAAACTTTTAAAAGATTTTTCCCAATGCTATAAAAAAAATACTGAAAAATAGTTATCCTTTATGAAAAGAACATTATATTTTTCCTTCTCAGAGCAAATCTTGATTTGAATATTCTTAAATACCCATGTATGTCACATTCTTACCCTTGTCTACTAAGTAGCCTATGAACAGGTGCATTCTGTCCTTGGTTTGGCTGAAGGACTCTGTTGACAAATTGAATAAAAAGTTAATTCAAAAAACTAATTCTGTTTTCTCATTTTCTTTCAATGGATGAAAGATGATGGCAGTAGGATGGAAAACATGTATGCAATGATATGGCCTATATACAACCACAAAGCAAAGCAAATTGATTAAAGCATATTAATATGGTACCTCTCTCTCTCTAAATATATATATATACACACACACACACACACATACACACTTTTTTTTTTTTAAGACAGAATCTTAAGCTGTTGTCCTAGGTAGAGTGCCATGGTGTCATCATAGCTCACAGCAACATCCAACTCTTGGACTCAAGAGATCCTCTTGCCTCAGTTTCATATTTTTTAGTAGAGAAAGGGTCTCACTTTTGCTCAGGCTGGTCTCGAACTCATGACCTCAAGCAATCTACCTGCCTCAGCCTCCCAGAGTGCTAGGATTACAGGCGTGAGCCACTGCGCCTGGCTGGGGGTACTCATATTTTGTTCACCAAGATCCCAAACCTCAGGTTTTTATCAAGAAGAGATAAAACATATGCATTAACCCTTGTGCTTTTAGGTCATTCTCTTATATACTTAACCAACATATGCATTAACCCTTGTGCTTTTAGGTCATTCTCTTATATACTTAACAAAAGGATAACTTTTCCTTTCAAACATGCGAGAGAAGAAAATATCACTTTCATTTTAAAAGAATAGAAAATGGTTCAGAAATACTAAGTTAGCTTTTTAAGGTTTATAATTCTCAAAGATTCTCTGGACTGTGGACTGAACTCAAGACATATCAAGCTCAAATTTCCACCAGAGATACCATGTCCCACACAAAGCTCCAGGTACATCTCGTGTGACACATGACTAGGTATATGACCAGGTATTGACTTGAATCCTAAGCCCAAGATCCTCCAACTCAGCAAGGAGTGTTTTACTGATGTAAAGTAGAACAAAGTCAACAAAAAATATCAGGATTTATAAAAATTTTTTCTTAAAAAAAGCCTCTCACTGAGACTAAGTGATTTTTCTCACCTTGTTTCAGAAGGATTTTGTTTAACCAGGAATTTCTTATTTGGCATTCCCATTTCAGCAGCTCTAATACAACATAAAAAGAAGGACACAAACAATGTATTTAGAGAAGGGAACAAAACATGCTTACAAGTGTAATATTGGATGACACAAATAGATCATCACTTAGAAACTGGTATACCACTGTAAGTATACTAAGCATATAAAGATTACTTTCAAGAGAGAATGATTTGTAAAAGTTAAGATATAAAAAACAAAAAAGATAGTTAAGATATTCTTCTCATTTAGTTTTTCTTCTCAGGAAATCTTTAGGGTATCAGAAAAAGAATATATTTAAAAGATAAAAAGTTAAATATTGAATATAAGGATTTACTGTTTTTAAGACTGCTGGCTGGCTATCAACCATACAAGTTAAATGTGAACAAACTTAGGAATTGATAAATTTATCTAAAGATGAAATTAGATTTTACCACCTGATTTTATTCTTTCTTTCTTTCTTTTCTTTTTTTTTTTTTTGTAGACAGAGTTTCATTATATTGCCCTCGGTAGAGTGCCTTGGTGTCACAGCTCACAGCAACCTCAAACTCTTGGGCTTAAGCAATTCTCTTGCCTCAGCCTCCCAAGCAGCTGGGACTACAGGTGCCCGCCATAATGCCCAGATACTTTTGTTGTTGTTGTTATTGTTGTTTAGCAGGCCCAGGCCAGGTTTGAACCACCAGTGGCCAGCGCCCTAACCAGTGAGCTACAGGTGCCAAGCAAATGAAACTTCTTTGTATAAAAAGGAATTTCTAGCAGATCAATGGTAGAAAAGTTAACTGTTCTTTCTAATTTGATATGTAAACAGACCGACAAATGACTAAAATTGCTTAATACTAATTAATACAACATAATATTAAAAAACTTACTTCATGTACTTCTTCCTATCAAGAGACTTCTGTGTTGCAGCTGAAAGAGCCACTCGGGGACTTTTTATTTTATCCTTTAAAACACAAAAGTAACAGAAAACTACTGGTGCCAATACTACTATAATACAAGATGATCCCAAAAGGCCTGGAAAAGCTTTTCTTTACTAACATTTGTTTTGAGGCAGAAACTCACTTTGTTGCCCTCAGTAGAGTACCGTGGCATCATAGCTCACAGCAACCTCAAACTCTTGGTCTCAAGCGATCCTCTTGCCTCAAGCTCCCAAGAGGCTGAGACTATAGGTATCTGCCACAACACCCGGTTATTTTTAGAGATGAGGTCTCTCTCTTGCTCAGATTGTTCTCGAACTTCTTTCTTTTTTTTTTAGAGACAGAGTTTCACTTCAGGGCCCTCAGTAGAGTGCCAGGGCATCACACAGCTCACAGCAACCCGCAACTCCTGGGCTTAGGTGATTCTCTTGCCTCAGCTTCCAAAGTAGCTGGGACTACAGGCGCCCGCCACAACGCCCGGCTGTTTTTGGTTGCAGTTTGGCTGGGGCAGTTTGAACCCGTCACCCTCAGTATATGGGGCCGGCACCGTATCCACTGAGCCACAGGTGCCGCCCTGTTCTCGAACTTCTAAGCTCAGGCAATCCATCCACCTGGGCCTTGCAGAGTGCTAGGATTATAGGCATGAGCTACTGCACCCAGTCTTCCTTACTAACATTTTTACCTTTAACTTAGTTTTCTGAGATAGCCTAATTCTACAAATCAAGTAATTAAAATTACTTTTTCCCAATGAAATAAGTTTTGCTTGTTTTCTCTTTGCCAACCACACTAAGATCATTAATTCAAATCACAAACCACCAATACTGATATATTTCAAAGTAATTTAAAGTCTGTTTCCAACTGATTTCAAAAAAGGCAAAATCCACATGAGTTTCAAGGGAATTTAACCAGGAGCTGCTGGTAAGTTTTTTATTTATTTTTTATGTATTTATTTTTTGAGATAGTCTCACTATGTCACTCTCAATAGAGTACCATGGCATCACAGCTCACAACAACCTCAAACTTTTGGGCTTAAGAGATTCTCTTGTCTCAGCCTCCCACATAGCTGGAACTACAGGCACCTACCACAATGCCCAGCTATTATTTGTCGCAGTTGTCACTGTTTAGCTGGCCCGGGTCAGGTTCGAACCTGCCAGCCTTGGTGTATGTGACTGGCGCCATAAGTACTGTGCTACGGGCACCGAGCTTGCTGGTTAAGTTTTTTATAAGCCATCCAAGCAAAACATTCAAAACTCCAACTCCAAAATCCAATCAGAAAATAATATGTAATTCTTTCATTATGTAATTCTTTTAAATCATTTTACAGATTTAAATGTTGCTAGTAATCCTAGGAATTTAACAAATGTTAGAAAGGTGATGAGGTCAATGAAAAAAATGACATTTAGTATCAACTACCCTAAACCCAAAAAAACTCCACTCATCAGAAAATCACATAACATACCATTTGCCTGAGCATTTTCTCTTTTCGAGCTTCTCGGTCATGATGTAGAATAGACATTCTTTCAGCTGCATCCATTACAAAGAATATGTCATGAATGCCATACAGGGCAGCACGCAACTAGGTTCAAAAGCAAAAATACCATACACATTTAAAAGATGAGTGTAGAGTTCAGTAATATTATATAAACTATTAACACTTTATGTATTAAAAAAAATTAAAGTAGTTTTCACTGAAACCTATTTTCAGTGATTAAATGGAAAGAGAAAAAAATGTAAAATTTCTGTTTCTTAAAAGCCTAAAGGGTATGTGTGGTTGGTTACCTGAGCTAACACTCTTTCCTGAAGTGAAGCATCCTGTGCTGAAACAATGCCTCTCTTTAATGGTGCTTCTGACTGAAAACTTCTCATGAATTCCATAGTATCCTGCAAAAAGAAATGCTCCTTCAAAAACATTTTTCTAGGAAGACTCATTATCACTGGAGTTTCCTTTTTTCTTTTTCTCAGTCAATCCAAAATTATAGTTGTCCCTTATTATCTGTAGGTGACTAGTTCCAAAACCCCTAAAGATACCAAAATCTAAGAATACTCATCTCTCCTATATAAAATGGTATATAGTACTTGCATATAGTCTATAAACACCCTCCCATATTCAGTGGTTCTCAACCTTCCCAATGCCATGACCCTTTAATATAGTTCCTCATGTTGTGGCGACCCCCAACCATAAAATTATTTTCATTGCTACTTCATAATTGGAATTTTGCTGCTGTTATGAATCATAATGTAAATATCTGATATGCAAGAGACCCCCAAAGAGGTTGTGACCCACAAGTTGAGAACCATTGCTTTAAATCATCTCTAGATTGCTTATAATACCTAATACAATATAAATGCTTTGTAAATAGTTGTTAACAATATATTGTTTAGGGAATTATGACAAGAAAAAAGTCTGTTTATGTTCAGTACAGATGCAACCATCATTTTCTTCAATATGTTTAATCCATAGTTGATTGAATGCACAGATGCAAAATCCAGATGTGGAATCCACAAATACAGTGGGCTGACTATCCTAAGATCAAAAATAAAACTATTACTTATTAAAAGTCAAATAGTATTCACTTTAAAGGGAGACAAAAATACAGAAACTAGCTGATGCACAGTGACTCATGCCTATAATCCCAGCACTTTGGGAGGCTAAGCTAAGACGATTACTTAAAGCTAAGAGTTTAAGACCAGCTTGAGCAACACACACGATTCCATCTCTACAAAAAATGGAAAAATTGGGCAGCATCTTTGGCTCAAGGCGTAGGGAGCCAGCCCCATATGCCAGAGGTGGTAGGTTCAAACCCAGCCCTGGCCAAAAACTGAAAAAAAAAAAAAAAAGAAACGAAAAAAGAAAAGAAAGAAAAAGGAAAAATTAGCCAAGCATAGTGGAACACATGTGTAGTTCCAGCCAGCTACTAGGGAGGCTTATGCAGAAGGATCACTTAAGCCCTGGAGTTTGACGTTGCAGTGAGCTATAATGATGCCATTTTACTCTAGTCTAGGCAACAGAGCCAGACCCTATCTCCAAAAAAACCCAAAAAGCAAAACAAAAAGAACCCCCCTTCATTTACATATCACTTATACAATTATCTGAGTAATATTAATAATTACAGGGTGGCACCTGTGGCTCAGTGAGTAGGGCACTGGCCCCACATACGGGGCAGGGGGCGGGGGGTAGGGGGAAGCGGGTACAAACCCAGACCTGGCCAAACTGCAACAAAAAAAATAAGCCAGGCGTTGTGGCAGGCGCCTGTAGTCCCAGCTACTTGGGAGGCTGACACAAGAGAATCAGCTAAGAGGTTGCTAGAGGTTGCCGTGAGCTATGATGCCATAGCACTCTACCGAGGGCCACAAAGTGAGACTCTCTCTCTAAAAAAAATAATAAAAATAATTACAGCGACTAAAAAGTATTTGATCTGCCTTAGTTCTGAACTAATTTGTCAGCTCAGCTACCACAAGGCTAACAGAAATTTTAAGTGAGATACAAATAATTTACAACAATCTTACTTTTACAGTCTGTCGAAGTTGCTTCAGTTTATCTGTCTGCATAAGCCTACGAGTAAGAAATCCTTTTGCCACTGCAGTTATTTTATTAAATTTTGCTTGTACTTCTGGACTAAAAACCTAGGAGAAAAAAGACAGACATGATACTTATTGATGCTCCTTTGTACAACATAAGATGGTATAGCTCTTAAAAAAAAAAAAAAAAGAAAGAAAGATGGATATATATCATTAAGTTTGCTCACCTGAGACAATCTAGTTTTGGGCCTTCCAAAAGGCCTTGTTACTGAGAGTTTGGTCAAGCCACTAGGTGATGACCCCCAGAGGTAGAATGGTGCTTCATTTGAAGAACCAAAACTATGTTGTACAGCAGAATTTGTGAAACCTAGAGAAATAGACATAATTATACTTGATGTCAGATAATAAAAATATGAAGAACATCAAATTAAACACTGTGATACTCATTAAGAATACAACTGAGGCCAGGCGCAGTGGTTCACGCCTATAATCCTAACACTCTGGGAGGTCAAGACAGGTGGATCACCTGAGCTCAGGAGTTTGAGACCAGCCTGAGCAAGAGCAAGACCCCACCTCTACTAAAAAAGAAAAATTAACTGGGTGTTGTGGCAGGCACTTGTAGTCCCAGCTACTCAGGAGGCTGAGGCAAGGATGGCTTAAACCTAGGAGTTTAAGGTGGCTATGAGATAAAACACCACAGCACTCTACCCAGGGCAACAGAGTGAGATTCTGTCTCAAAAAGAAAAAAAAAGAGAATAACAACTGATGCCATTTTACTCTAGTCCAGGCAACAGAAACTGATCCACGTGCAGACTTAAATATTTATGAACCTTAAGCTTTATGCACAGATGGATCTTTTTAACACAAACAACATCTCAGGATAATTGAAGATCTGAAGATAAGCTACTACAGGGACTGGGGACTTAGAGGTAATTCAAGATCACTTGGGAGACAGCAAACTGTTTTCACTTGAAGTATATCACCTGCTGCATGAATGATCACAGACTGGGCTCTGAACTGAATTTCCTGATATTCTCCTCACTAAGGTAGCCTTTTCTCATGAACACCTGCTCACAAGTCTTTGATCTGCTATCGTGTCGTTTTTCATTGGTTACTAAGCAGCTGGCAAACAGCTGTGGGATGAAGATGGAATTACTTAAAAGGAGCTACAATTTTAAAGTGTGCCAAATGGGGCAGCGCCTGTAGCTCAAAGGAGTAGGGCACTGGCCCCATATACCAGAGGTGGTGGGTTCAAATCCAGCCCCAGTCAAAAATTGTAAAAAAAAAAAAAAAAAAAGTGTGAAAAAAAATAAATAAAGTGTGCCAAATAAAATAGCTCACTGTAGGATAATTTTTTCAAATGGAAAAGGATTTTTAAATATTTACCAGAACTATGTGAATTTGAAGTATGGAGTGAATCTACTTGAGACAGCATTGTTTCTAGCAAACCAGAGTCACTTATTTTTCTCCATTCTACCATATTGTTAATGTCCAATTCAGAGGCTTCTGCAGTGATCGCCTTCTTCTCTTTTAACATTTTCTCTTGTTCTTCTATTTCCTGTAGATTAACAGTTTATTATAACATGGTAGAGCCTGGGTTTAATTACATCCCAAAACAGTATCATGTTAGGCTTAGCCAAAAGAACATATAATCAGTAAATTATTAGTAGTATTTATTTCAACTTTTCCTCTTCAAATAAAACTATGAAAATTTATTTGATTTTAAAATGTGATACATTAATATTATAACAAGTGTTCTTATCATATAGCTCTTATAATACCTCTTTAAAATATTAAATGTTTTAAATTAAGGATTCGATGAAGTATCTTTTTGATAAATTATACAATTACTTTTAGATAAGGATCTAAATATTAAACCTCACATTTAGACAATAAGAATACTACCCATGGCTCAGCACCCTTAGCACAGTGGTTATGGAGCCAGCCACATGCACTGAGGCTGGCAGATGCACTCGGCCCGGGCCAGCTAAACAATGACAACTGCAACAAAAAACAATAGCCAGGCATTGTGGCAGGCACCTGTAGTCACAGCTACTAGGGAGGCAGATATAAGAGAATTGCTTAAGCTCATGAGTCTGAGGTTGCTGTGAGCTGTGACGCCAGAGCACTCTACCAAGGATGACATAGTGAGACTGTCTCCAAAAAAAAGAATACTACCCATGTATCAAAATCAATAACTCCCTTGCATTAAGATACATGGGGAAAAATTACAAGTATTCTATACATGACCAAAATTCATAGTTATCTTTGGCTAAGTTTCACTTACCAGTCCAATCTCCCCTCACATTTTAATTCCTCACCTTCTGCAATCTTTCCTGTTCCCTTTCCTGCTCAGCTATGAGTAGTGATAATTGCTGGGCATGTTGTTCTTCCAGTCTCTTTCGCATTTCTTCAAAAGCTAACATCTTGTTTTTTAGTATCTCCTCGCTTTCTGGAAGGAAACACATCCCCTAAAATTTAGAAGACTCATTACAAGTCTAATATTTGATACCTTATATACCATCAATTTAAATTATCCTTCTGACAAGGAAAGCATTCCTGAATCTGACAAAATACAATCCAGATATAGCCAGGTCTCCATTCTGAACCACATTCTCATTTGCCACTCTTTGTACTCATACTAATAAAGAAAGGCCTGTATCTCACCACCTATACCCACTCATTCAACAGATCTTATCACAATCTGAACCAACAGAGCAAGATTATATGTTTAGGCAAGATTCTTTTGACTCTAATTTTAGTTGATGTGGTCCTCAGCTGCATCTTACCACTACTTATTCTTTTGACTCTGGTCCTTCTCCAGTATCTCTGGTTTTGTAGCTTGTAGTTCTGCTCATTTTGATTTTTACAGTAAATATTCCTTTGATGGTATAAAGATTTCTCAGCTTGAAATTCCAGAAAAGACTGAACATTAAAATCCCTGATTTTTAGTTACTAACTAAAAAGCACAAGACAAATCATGACTACGCAAACTTCCTGAATAGAAAGCTGTAATAAGACATATCAAGGCTCAGCTCCTGAGGCTCAAGTGGCTAAGGTGCCAGACACATACACCTAACGTGGCAGGTTCGAATCCAGCCTGGGCCTGCCAAACAACAATGACGGCTGCAACCAAAAAATAGCTGGGCATTGTGGCAGGCACCTGTGGTCCCAGCTACTTGGGAGGCTAAGGCAGGAGACTCACTTGACCCCAGAAGTTGGAGGTTGCTGTGAGCTGTGATGCCATAGCACTCTACCCAGGGGGATAGCTTGAGGCTCTGTCTCAAAAAAAAAAAAAAAAAAAAGACATATCAAAATGCTGAAATACCAAGTATTATAGATGTATCAAGTATATGTTCGTGGATCCATTATACACTAGCTCAGCTAAATCCAAATAATCATTCTTTCCACACAATGATTGTCTCTAAAAATAAGTATATTATGTACTATTATGCTATTGCTGTAGTCTTCCCATAATATGTTCCTAAATATACTTTATTCAGCAACAATTTATACTTTATTTATAGTTTTTCATAGGCAAGAGTAATTGGAAAAACAGGAGTAGAATTATAACCTTCAGCTCAAACTCTCAGTTAATATCAGGAGTCCATTCAGCTCTATGTTATAATATAAGCTTTCACTTAGCTGTGGGCAGCTTCAACATCCCAGTGCACTACACTGCCTCCTCAACCCACTGGGACAGCTCCCGGGCTGCCTCCATAACTGGCCTCATCTCAAAGCACTTATTAAAACACTGCCAGAATTGCACCTTAGTTGATGTCATGTACATTTGATATTCACTGAAGCAGCCTCTAGCCTGGAGGATCCAAGTAGGCTCCCCGAGTACCAGTTGTTCTTATTAGAGCTTTTATAAAGTTGTACAGATTTTCTTTTTTTCCTTTTCTTTCTTTCTTTTTTTTTTTTTCTGAGACAGAGACTCAAGCTGTCGCCCTGGATAGAATGCCGTGATATCAGAGCTCACAGCAACCTCCAACTCTTGGGCTCAAGTGACTCTCCTGCCTCTGCCTCCCTAATAGCTGGGACTACAGGCGCCCGCCACAACACCCCGCTATTTTTTGGTTGCAGCTGTCATTGTTGTTTGGCGGGCCCAGGCTGGATTAGAACCCGCCAACTCAGGTGTATGTGGCTGGAGCCTTAGCTGCTTGAGCCACAGGTGCCAAGCCTATAAAGTTGCACAGGTTTTAAGTGATATGTCCCAACCCTGTATTTCCCATAAGCTTAAGAACTTAAAATTTACTTGATTTAGGTCTTCCATATCAGTAATGAAGAATTATGAACCATGAAAAAGTCATAAAGTGACGAAGAAGAAAAACATACTTTAACAAATTGGCAATGTAACACTGGATGCAAAGAACAAAAAAACCTGAAAAAAGAATTTTTACTAATAAAACAATTATTCTTGAAACAATATTCAGAGCCTTATTTGTGATGCTTTCTCTAATAATTTGATGCTGAAGTGTTCACTAAGGGGCCAACTACATGAAGATCTCATTACAGATGAAAGAACAAATTGATAAAAATATTAGAAATCATAATCCAGGCTCTGTGCCTATAGCTCAGCAGCTAGGGTGCCAGCCACATACACTGGAGCTGGCAGGTTCGAATCTAGCCCAGGAATGCCAAACAACAATGACAACAACAACCAAAAAAATAGCCAGGCATTGTGGTAGGTGCCTGTAGTCCCAGCTACTTGGGAGGCTGAGCCCAAGAGTAAGCTGGGATGCCACAACAGTCTATCAAGGGAGACTCAGTGAGACTCTGTCTCCAGAAAAAAAATAAATAAATAATAATAAAGAAATCATAGTCCAAAAGATCTCACAGCAATACACTGGATTAAAACTACATATGATGTTTCATGTAAGAACTACTTCTTTTGATCATTAATATATTATTATTCTTAATAATATCAAGTAGACTATGAAAGCTTTGCCATTTAAATAAGAAAATCCTTTAAAAAAGGTTATCAAATAACAATGAACTACAGCTAATTATATACTTTCTAATAAAATAAATGAAGTGGCCATATGAACAGATTAATGCAGTTTTTTAAAACATCAATTAAAAGTATAAAATATTGAACCTGGCTCGGCGCCTGTGGCTCAAGTGGCTAAGGCACCAGCCACGTACACCCAAGGTGGTGGGTTCAAATCCAGCCTGGGCCCGCCAAACAACAATGACGGCTGCAACCAAAAAATAGCCAAGCGTTGTGGCGGGCGCCTGTGGTCCCAGCTACTTGGGAGACTGAGGTAGGAGACTCGCTTGAGCCCAGGAGTTGGAGATTGCTGTGAGCTGAGATACCACGGCACTCTACCCAGGGGGACAGCTTGAGGCTCCTGTCTCAAAAAAAAAAAAGTATAAAATAAAGGTACCATCTATATACCAAGTATCAAACACTTCAAAGTTTCCTTACCTTTGGAGTTAGTATCTAACATTTTATTCTTATTAATAAAGATAGATCCCTTAGAGTATCTTTTTTCTGACAAATGTTGCTTTTCTTGTTCAGCTATTCCAGTTGTTATGACATAAGGGCAGTTTTCTTTTTGCAAACTATCGATATCTAAATCAAGTCTCCGTTTAACTTTCTCAAAACTGTTATCCAAAAATTGTTCATTTCCACAGGACACTGTAGGTGTATCCATCTGCTGTCTGGTATTCTGGCTTTGCATCAGTAAAGGAGATGGGTTTTTTACATCATAAGATTTATTCAACTCCATTTGCAAATTGCATGAGTTTTTCTCTAACATACTGGCTGACTTGAGTCCACTCACAGTTCCAAAGTTTTGAGAGGAAGCATATGGTTCAGGCAATTTTGGCATTGCAGTACAAGTACTGTTTATTTTGTGTGCTCCTCTCTCGTCAGATGTTAACTGACCTTCCACAGTGGCAAGTCCATGAATAACTTTATTTTCTAATTGATGTCCTGTTGATTTACCTAAAACTATATCCTCAGGGACTTCGGATGTATTTTTGCTGACATAAATCTTGCTTGAACAAACTCCTGCTAAATTAATTGGTAACTTTGGCACAGTTTCGGGTACATTTACTCTTTCATCAGTATCTTGGACAATTAACTCCACTGCCTGTTCTTTTCCTTTAGGGCTTAATTCACAGGCATTTATTGGGTTATTTATAAGTATATGACATTCTGATGATGGCCTGGAACGCCTTCGATGCATTTTAGGACTCATACTTGGCTCTGGACTAGGTAATTTGGCATATGAACTTGTAAGACTTTTGATAGCATTATTTTCAGTAACAAAAGTGGGAACAACTTTAAAATCAGAATCCGAATCTTGAACAGTGGGATGGCCAGCTTGTATAGCCATATCTGCTTTAGAAAAGCTAGCTACAACAGGCATATTCATGCTGCTTGCTTGACTTGAAGCACCTTGGAGAAGAACATTTGATTTATTAAGGCTTGGTTTGTCAGGAATAGCTGAAACACAGTGTTTGCCTATCAACTGGGCCTTCTCCTTTACACACTCAGTCACTTTAACAGCATCATTTTCTTTGTCTGAATGACTCTCATTAACACTTCTCTTTGCACTCAGACTGCGTCTAGATTGTTCTTTTTCTATATAGTCTTTTGACTTTTTCATTAGATTCTGAAGACTCATTATATAGGGATCTGGGGTGACTTCTGCCAAAACTGATGGATCCTGTTCTTCATTTGTTGAGAAGAAACCATCAGAAATAAGAGTCTTTTGTGGGGTTGCTGAAGAGATCCTGGGAAAAATTTCATTTTCTGCATGACTAATATTTGAACTATCACATTGCTTCAGAGAATTAAATCCTTCTGAATCTCTGGCTAAGTCTATTTCATTAGTTTTACATTGGTCTTCATTCTCCAGTGGCAAAATTCCAGCTATCTTTTCAAGCTTTGCTAAATTAGAATGTTCAGTAGGGCTCTGAAAGCAATTTGGAAATATAGCAGGAACATTCAAGTTTCTGACTTCTGAATTAGAGTAAACTGTTTCAGTCTCCCACTGATCAAAATCACTGGCATTAGGTGCTTTTCTAACCTGAAAAAGGAAATTTGAAAATTAGTATTTCCTCACTGCACAAAAAACCTGTTTTCTAACATAAAACTAAAACTAAAGAAGATTCAGAGTTGTTACATTTGAAAACATAAACAAAGCTAAGATGACTGGTTTCTAAGGTAAACTATGTCACATGAGACTCTAATTACTATAAAAACATCTATTGGTT